GACAGGGGCACCCCGGGCACCGTCCCCTGCCGGGGCAGCGGGTGCCAGGCCCTGCCTGCCGGGACATCCTCCGGGCAGCGGCGGTGGGGGCTGCCACCCTCCCTTGGGACAGCCTGGCACCCCGAGTCACTGCCCCACAGCACGTGCCCGGACGGTGCTGTGCCACAGCCCCAAAACTGCCCCAGCCCCCAGTCCAGCACATCCCGGCCCAGAGGTCGTGTCCTCGGACCGAGCCGTGGTTCCCCAGCCCCTGTCCCCACCGCGGGGTGACCCCAACCTCCCCGGGCCTTGCCCAGGATGGGGGTGACAGGGAACAGGCAGACCCTTGCCGTCCCATCACACCCACCACCCACGGCATCGAGGCTGCCACGTGACGACGGCAGCGCCAGTCCGCATCTTCTGCCCGCATCCACCTGCTCCTGCCACGTCCCCTCCGCCAGCCTGTGACCACCTTCTGACAACCCACGGCCCCCCCGGACCCTCTGGCCACAGCCCAGTGCCTGCAGCGCTGCACCCCATGAAGCTGCTGGTCGCCATCCTCCAGCCCCGGCAGCACCCCGGACGCTCCTGCGGCACCCGGCGAGGCAGCCCCCGGCCAGCCCCCAAACCTCCCTGCCCTGACCCCCCCGCACCCGCATGGCCCCAACCCCAGGATCCTGCCAGCCCCAAAATGACCTTGGACTCCTCATCTGCTGCCCACACTGTGACCGCGCCACATGTCCCTGCTGGGCTCCTCCGGTCGCCGGCCACTGACCCTGCCCATGGTGACGCCCAGGACCCCCTCACCGAACCCGCCTTGTCCACAGCCCGGCGTGACCGAGTGTCTGCGTCCCCACGTGCACCGTGGCCAGCTCCCCATCCCAGGGCGATGCCCCGCGTCCCTGCATGCCCCGGCATGCTTCCTCGCCCGTGGGACACCCGTGGCTCCGCCGGGACCAGCTTTGGCCTCAGGACAGGTGGGGACGGGTGCCTCTGGCCAGGTGCTGGCGGGATGAGGGACCTGCCAGCCCGGCAGCCCTGGCAAGGCCGTGGCTTACCCGGTAGCCCAGAAGGAAATCCATGGGTGGCAGACCGCGGGGAAGTGGCCACAGATCCCATCCCCGGTCACGTGTGTGGCGATGGGGACTTTCCCAACGGCACCGGGCAGCCGCGCAGCGCGACGCAAAGGGTTAATCATTAACTCCGCTCTGGGGCAGCCCCACGAACCCACACTGAGCTCAGCACTGGCACCACGCGTGGCTGGGGCAGGCGAGCGGCACCGGCAGAGCCGGCGGCCCCGGCCCAACACGTACCGGCAGCACCTCCCTCAAGGGCACCCACCGCCCCGGCACAGTTGGCTCAGCCTGCCCCAGGGTGGCTGCTGTGGGGCACAGCCTTGCCCCACGGCCGTGCAACAGGGTGGGTGCCACGAAGCCCTGCCAGCACCCCGCAGCCCTGCCCCATGGCCGTGCAACGGGGCACCACGCCGTGGTGCAGCACGGCGGGAGGGCCGTGCCACAGCACCCCTCGCCCGGCCAGGCAGTGGCGGCGGGTACAGTCCCAGCATCCCCCCCAGCAGCCATGGGGCTGTGCCCACCGCGGCACTTACGCTCTGGAAGGCAGAGGAGACGATGTGGTGGATCTCGGAAGACACCTGGGAGTGGGTCATGGTGCCGGCGTGGCACCCCGGGACGGCCGGCTTAGCCCTTCTCCTTCTCGCTGGGACTCAGGGGACGCTGTCGGGGCAGCATAACCTGGGGGCAAAGAGGGGTGCTCAGGGGCACGGCCGGTGCTCCCGCAGCGGCGATGCCCTGAGGGGCTGCACGGATGCCAGCTGTCCTCTCCCCCCAGGCACCACGTGCCACCGCCATCCCCGGGGCAGATCCGTGGGCAGGGGGTCAGGGTCTGCCCCTCCTCGGCCGTCCGGGGGGAGGCACGGGCAGGGCTGGCCCCGGGGCCGGCTCCGGGCTGGTTTGTCTTGGCTGCTGGTGGGAGCGGGAGAGCAGGGGCCAAGACAAACGCCGGGAGGGGAGCGGAGCTGGGGCAGTGGGATGGGGCCCAGCCCCCCCGGCGGGACCCCGGGCACGCGCCCAGCTCCGTGGGGTGCAGGCAGGGCGGACAGCGAGCCAGACCCCGGGGGGCAGCGGCAGAGAGTGCCCCCCCAGACAGACACCGGGTGACTGACCCCCCCCCCAGCCCTGTGAGCCCCCCAGCACCCCCATCCCAGCCCCCCACACCTGCCCACCGGCCATCTTCGCCCCACACTTGCCCCTCGGCAGCTCCCCGGGCACCAGGCTGACCCCTCCGGCACCGGCGTGCCGGGTTTATTGGCGCGGGAGGTGGCCCCACGTGACGGCAGGGACTGAGGAGGGTGGTGACAGATGACTGCGTCTCACATGGGTGGCTCACCATCACCGTCCTCGTCACCATCACTGGCACCCCTCCCGCCACACTGTCCCCCACGGGCACCCTGTGGTACAAGCACGGTGGCCACAGCCAGGCTCGAGGAGCCGCGGCCTCGACATCTGCCGAGGCCACGGCTACTCGAGCCTGGCTGCGGCACCGGATCGTACCTTCTCCTAGGTTCGGTGCTACCCGGCTCTGGCTGCTCCCTAATCCCCGCTCCCCATCCGGGGCCAGAGCCAGCACATCCACATTCCAGCCGAGCGAGCGCAGATTAGCCGACCTGCCACGCCGCTCTCCCGGGGCTCCCGCCAAGCCGAAGCCAGCAGCCAAAACTCCCCCCCCTACTCTGGATGGGGACACTGCCATGCCCGAGGGGGGCTGGCTGCAGGACCCCACCAGTGGCACGGGTAGCAAGGAGCCAATCCGGCACAGCTCCAGTCTCACCAGAGCACCTGCCTGACCCACTGGGCTTGGAATTTGGGGCGAACAAGCCGGTGCCTCCACTCCCCCTCCCCAAAGGAGCCCGGACCCACAAACTGCCCTTGCTGGGTGACTTGAGGGGGGGTGCCAAGGGGTCCCCTCCCTGCATGGGGCGCCCAGCGCCCTGTGTTCTCGGGGTCCCATGCAGCTGCATACCCCCCCAGCCCCAAAGACTGGGACCAGCAAGTGGGGTCTGGGGGCTCCCTGGTGCCATTGAGAGCAGCTGCCAGGAGTGGGGGGCTCCGGGGCAGTGGGGTGGGGGACAGAGCCCACGGGGAGTGTTGACGGCATTGAGTGACCAGCCGGGCACAGCCAGGACTTTCGTGCTGTCCTGGCCGCACCATACGGACCCCACTGGTGTCACGCCTGGGCCGAGCTCCCCGCAGGACGGTGCCACCATCCCACCCATCGCGGGGATGCGGCGCTGGGCCACCATGGCCGGCAAGTGCCGGGGCTCCGGCGCAGGAAGGTGCTCACCACTCCCGACCCTAAGCAGCTTTTTGGGTTTAATCCCGTTGGCAGCTTGCGGGGATTAGAGCCCCAGGAACACACTTGGGATTGTTCTTGGGGAACGCCGAGCTGGGAAGCAGCCCCAAGCCGCGTTCTCACCGGCTCTCAGTGCAGGGGAGCTGGGTGCCTGCCCATCACCCAAAAAAGGAGGGCTCCCGGCCCCCCAACCCC